TTCCCCCTCCCCCTCTGCTCCCTCCACCCCCCACACCCTCCATGACATCATCCTTCTAACCTGTCAACAGCAGGTGGCGCTGTCAGTTTCTTCACTGGTTTACTGCCTTCACTCTCTGTTGTGTTCTTAGCTGAGGAGAAAAGATACATTTTGTTTACAAACATGTAGCAGCTAAAGCTACGTAAACATTAGCCGCCTAGCCTGTAGCCCACATCGGACGTCAACATCTCCAGAACGTGGGCCACGTCTTAGCTAAACTGAAACCACCGCCGCCGCTAACGTGGTCGTGAATATTTGTCTCGTTTAATAACTCTGTCACACAGTGACACGACGACAGAGAGCCCCCCAGTGGTCAGAGTTGGTGACACCAGCTGTGGGCCAATCAGGGCCAGAACAGGACGTGAGTTTCAACATGTGGTCAGGAATAAAAACCTTCTTTTGTTGCTGTTGTTGTTGTTGTTGTTGTGTTGGCGTCACTTCTGTGTCGTCGCAGGCTGACGTTGAGTCGAGGAAGAGACAGAGCGGGCGAAGACGTGACGCTGCCAAAGAGGAAACACGGGTGAATATGTAACAATAATGTAATGGTATATATTATTATAACAAGGCAACACCGACCTGCTGTGTGTCAGTCTGGGGGGGTCGGACTCTGACATCCTGGAATCAAAGGTTATTGGAGGTGTGTGTTAGTGGAGACGCTGAAATATCTCTGCTCCGAGGACACCATGTCCACGTGGGGACACGGTGTCTAATGTCCCCGATGAGGTTAAAGACGTGGTTAGAGATTAGAATAAGGCCGGTCGTGTTCAAACAAGGTCAGGGTTCGAGGCCGGGACAGGCTTCACTGTAGGGGTGTGTGTGTGTGTGTGTGTGTTTCCGTCACCTGAAAAAAACATGATGTTCAACACAGGTTTTCCACAAACGTTTACATTCTGGTGAGTGAAAGAAGAATGTTGTTTCTGAGTCCTGACGAGAGACAGAGGAAAACGTAAAATCAAAAAAACAAAACAAAACAGTTTTATTGAATTAGCATCGCATTAGCGTCACTATTAGCATTAGCTGCACCTATTGTAGCTTAGTGTCATTTCTAGCGCTAACACCCAGGAGTGAAGGAGTGAAAGTCGACACCGACCTGTTTTCCGGCCACTCTCAGCTCAAACGTGTCGTTCTTGAAGTGCAGTTTGGTGATTTTCTGCCTGGAGACAACAGTCGGTGTCGGTGTTCAACAGTCAGAGAGTCAGTGAAGCCACAACAGTTCGTTTTGGTTGATGAACTCCTACCACAGATATTTTCCCACCAACGCTCTGTTCTTGTAGACGTCGATGCCGACAGGACTCGGACCCAGGAAGTACTCCGACTGGTTTCCCCCCTGACCACGAACCGCGGGAAAGAAGACAAATCATAAAATGAAACGAGTGTTTGATCAACAGGTCCACGTCTGATTGGACGAAGACAGACTGGATGATCAGACTTGGTATTGATCGTCGATCTTACGTATGCGTTGAAGAGTGAGACTCCGTACATCGGCAGAGAGCTGCTCAGAGCCAGGAAGAGGCTTTCAGCCTGAGGGCGAGAGACACCTCTGTACAATGACAGAGAGAGAGAGAGAGAGACATAAGGTCGTCTGCCTAATAACGTTAGTTTCCGTCTTTTTCTGTCTTTTACCTCATGGACTTGTAGATGACCAGTGTTTCGCGGTTTTCTTCCGTCTCGACCATTTCTCCGTCGGTGAAGTCTCCCAGCTCCACTGATGGGAACAAAACGTTAGGAGACGAAGGTGACGAGTCTGTGACGTCGTTGGATTCACGTTCGGGTTCATCGATTTCATTTCATTACATTTGACACGGTCGCAAAACGTCCCCTACAGCGCCCTCTGTCTGAGAGCTCAGCAGTGGTGTGAGAGAGAAACAGAGACACCACGTGGCCATAAATGTACTACATGTACGTTTGTACAATGTACTAAGCATCTTCTACTTCACCACGACACCAGGGGTCGCTAACTTTATTTGCCGGAGGGTCAGAATTTTTCTGGACAGACACCTCGGGGACAGGACACGGAAATGTAAAAATAAAAATCCCATTTTTATCTAACAGTATTAGATAAAAAGGTGTGGGTTGATTTGAATGTTTGACGGACCAGATTTGGCCCACGGGCCACCACTTGAAATAAATAAAAATTAAATTTTTGTCCAACAGTATCAGATAAAAAGGTTGAAATGTTTGATGGGCCAGATTTGGCCCACGGGCCACCACTTGGTAATCACTGACCTACATCTTCAGCTTGGACTCTTTTTTTACGTACGAGCAGAGATATTTCTGTATTTGTAGGTACTTTGTGAAAACGTTTACTCTGTTACTTCATTACTTTATATGTACTTTATATTTTGTTTATAAACCAACTGTTGTTGTACGTTTGTTCGTACACATTCATTAACATATGCCATCAACCGCCGTTAAACTGATAAAATAATGTAAAGGTTCTAAAGTTGTGGCGCCACCTTGCATCATCAGGGCGAAGAGTCGAGGTCTGAGGTAGTAGGGGACGAGGAGACATCTCCTGCGAATGTCCTGACGAAGCTGCAGGTAAAACTGACGTCTGACATCAGAGAGAACAAAGGAAAGAAACCAATGAAAATACAGAAAAAAAAAAAATTTTATGGCTAAACATTCGTCGACCTTTACCGTGTTCCTTCATCTTTGAGCTTCACCGGATCTTTGGCATAAAATTTGACACCGAAATAAAAAATGTACGGAGGCCCAGCTGAGTCAGGAAGAGAGAAAAACGTGTTTTTAAAAGTGGCTCGTGGTCTGCTAGGTTTTTACAAAACAAAAAAAGAAACAATCCGATCTGAAAGGGTAGATCAAATATTGAAAACAGAGAAACGTACGCAGGCTGCGATGTTGTGACAGAGTCTTGGAAGTATCCAACCAGTTCTGAAACAATTACAGAAAATTTAACAAAAATATTTTTGGACAACTTGAAAACCAGACGCCGTTCACACTCACTTCCTGTTTCCTACCGTATGTTGTTTCTTGTCACAGAACCTCAGACCAAAGAACTTGACATCGACCACATTCAGGTGGCAGAACACTTGTTCCAAGATGGCCGACACCTTCGTCGACTTCTGAAGTTTAAAGAAATACATTTCAGGTTGTGACACGTGAACGGCAACAAAACAAAAACAGACGTGTGTAAAATTAGGATCCCATTTAGTTGAAAATAGATGACAAATCATTACAGGTGATGGTTGTAGTTTGAAATGCATCATAACAACATGACCAGCAGTTCACATCTGGTATCGAACTGTGGACTTTCCTACTGTAAGGCAAGAGACCAAACCAGTTGAATAAACAGAAATCCAGACTAACTTTCATTCCTTGCTCTGGCTTCAGTGTGATTTTCGTGTCGTCCAGCAGGAGGACTTCACCGTAGAATTCTTCACGGTTGCCACGAAAACAAGCCATTGGCCGCAGGAGTTCCTGGAGAAGAACAATCAACCAATCAGAAGACAGTATCGATCCTGTAATGATCACCACCTTGTGGTAGTTTTTATTTTGCGGTGTATTTTTTTTTTCATGGTACAGAAAGATCAGATGTTGACGTTCAAGGTGCAGATGCATGATGGGAAATAAAGAGTTTCCTCCTCACCTTTAGATCAGATGGACGTCTCCTTCTTCTCCTTGTCCTTCGTCACTTCTTTTCTCTCCTCGTTTCTCTTCCACTCACTCACTCTCTCCCCATGTTGTACGGTTGCCATAGAAACAAGCTCCGCCCACTCCACTCTCTTTGTCTCTCGTTTTAACTTTGTTGTTGCTGTTTTTAAGGATCAAGAAACAGTTTATTTAGAGGACAAAAAAACACAAGATTATTTTTAATTATTATCAACTTTGAAATTTCCTTTGATTCCTGAAAACAAATTGAAAAAAATCAATTTTAAACATAAAAACCTCAAATGAATATGAAGTGTAGACATTTAGAACAGCAAAATAATCCTCTAATTGTGGAGCATGTATTTAATTTTTGTTAATCAGGATCACTGTGTCACATGACCTGAAACCAATCAGATATTTAATCAAAAAAATGTTTTTATTTATTTTATTTTACCATTGTTTTGTCACTCATTCAAAACATATTTTTCCACTTTTATTCTTAAACACAGTCACTAACATTTTGTGCAACATTCAAACAAGTGCATGTTTTTAACTCACCTTCAAAATAAAATACTTACTCACAGAACAGGTTTCATAATCATAGCCTTTCACACAGAGGAAACAGGAAGAGTCAGGTTTCATGTTTATGGACAAAAAGTTTTAAAAATATTTTTTTTTCATTTATACATGTTTATTTATACAGCCAAGGTATTTACTGTAGAACTCCTACAGAATAAAAGCCTGTGCATTATTAAACTGTGGCTTCATTAACAAAATAAGAGCAGGCAGCAAATGTCATTATTACTATTATATATTATTTTACACTCGTCTACAGCCACTGTTTCACATACACACATCTTATAAAACAGATCCAGGATAAACGTCATCTTTTATTGGGACAGGTCGCTCAGACTCCGATTGGTCGACAGGAAATTCTCCATGAAACTTGGAACCTGCAGACCCGTCAGGACGGTGAGTCCTCCGCACCAGACCTGCAGCGGACGTGGAGTAAAGTGTTAGTGTTAGAAGTTCAGACCTGCGCTGCAGGAAAGACTAATAATTTTTTTTGTTTCCTCCAGTGTAACTGAGTTACTCACAGTGAAGGCAGGAACCAGCGCCTGAACAAACTTTGTTTTGAAGGAGTGAAGGAGACGAAGTCGCTCGACGTCAATGAAAACTAAATCTCCTGACAGACAGAGAAATAACAGGTGTCGTAAAGTCAGCAGAGAGAAATAGAAAAAGGTCAAATATTTGACTTTTAAAAGTTGTGGTTGTGGTTCCTCGTGTACCGTTGTCGTAGTCGCAGTAAATCCCGACCTGTTGCAGCGCCAGCCACTCCAGCGTCTTCACTCTGTTGTTGTGTTTGGCTGCCAGCGCGTTTTGCAGCCATTGGCTGGCATGAAGACACCAGGAGCCAGTGCTCTTTCCTAATTGGTCGAAGCGGCCCAAGCTTGAGCGATAGGCCACGCCCACACTGAAAGACTTCCAGTCGGCCACGAGGCGGAGCTCCCAGTAATGGCAGCCACCGATCATCTCCTGGTCTCCTGAGAGGCAACAAACGGAAACTCTTCAGGATTCTTAAAAAAAAAACGTGAGAAATTAAATAAAAACATTTCTTTTTGTTTTTTTACCCAGAACTGTGTACGACTCTCCTGCAAACCGGTCACGACCGCCTCTGTTTCCTGACGTTTTGTTAGGTGATGGTGTTGCACTTCTGCTGCAAACAAACAGTACGAGACGAAATTAGAAAAAAAAAAAAAAAGATATAAAAATATATTTGTTAAATGATGGTGAGAAATCCAATGACGTTGGACCAAAATGATGAAGCTGGAAAAATGGGTAAAACGTGAATTTAACAAAACAATCACGAAAGTCACAGCCACTGATTTTGATTAATTAAAATCGAAAACAAATTATTTCCAATGAGTTTCAGTTTGACACTTAAATGAAAAACAAGTAAAAAAAACAAACAAAACAAAAACACAGTTTTAATGTCAGCAGTGATGTCAGCAGTGATTGGTTGCTGCAGAGATGGTGGTGAAGTCACACGGTGGTTCTACCTGAGTGTGTGGTAGCGGGCGAGCTACGGAGACTGAAGGAGGACAAAATACGACATCATGTGACCTGAGCAGCCGTCATTATTGTGCAGACACAACCGTGAACTCTTGATGACATCACTCCTCACCTGCTTTTCACGTCTTTACACCTGAGACGAGGGTCGTGCCCTTTGACCCGTTGAGGATCCCAGGTCACCGTGTCACCGTGAACCTTCAGCTCGGCGTGGGCCGTCGAAGAATCGAACCCAAAGTTGAACGCTGTCGGGTTGAGGTTCTACAGTTAAAGTTCTAGAATCTTCTTTGTTCAACATTTGTTTGTTCGTGCAGTTACTAATCGGTTAAACCCTTTACCTTTGGTTTCCATGGCAACGGATTCAGAAAACTCTCCGGCCGCGGTTTTGTTTTTGGCCCGAACACGGAAAACGACAAAGGCAGAATCAAACTTCAGACCTGGGAAAAAAAGGGAAAAGCGAATTAATTAGCCCAAATGCTAGTAATACGCTAACATGCTAACTGCCGCCTTTCTTACCTGAGAGAGTGAACTGTGTCTCTGTGATGTCACAGACTTTTTCCCAGCATGCTTTCTCCACCATTTTCACTGAGTTCTTCTGGTTTGTTTTTCTGTATTGTAGCTCGTAGCATTTGACTGGTCCACTGATGCTCTCACCGCTGCCCTCTGCAGGCATACGCCAGACAACTGTGATGTTGTTGTCACGTAAAACGCACCGGGAGACGTCAATTTCTGGAGGTTTGGGAACTGAAAAAAAGAACAAACTCTAAAGCAGTGATTCTAAAACCCCCTGTGCTGGCAAAACTCTAAAACAGTGATTCTAAAACCCCCTGTGCTGGCAGTAGTCGCCCCCTAGTGGCTAACTTGTCCTTTTATTCTATCCTCTCCCGTCAATTCCTAATGACTGTGCTTTGAAACATTTTCGTACAGTCAGTTAAATGTTAGCATGTGCGTAGATAACATACCTGGCAGGAAGTGAAGTCTCCTAAGCCCCTCCCCCTCAGCAGTGAAGTCAACAGTGAATTGCGTCATGTTCTCAGACACAGCTGGACGTGTCGTTAGCCGGAACGCGGGTGCCATGGTCACTCTGTTAGCAGGCGGGGTGGGGGGTGGGGGGGCGTGGCCCATTAGTTGGGGTGTGTTAGTATTTAGGCACAGAATGCAAGGGGCAGAGTTAATGTGTTAGGGGCGTGGTTTCACCGTGGGGGCGTGGTCAACATGCAAATGATCGACAGCTGTGATTCATTAATAAAGCTCAACTTTGAGTTCAGAAGCAAACAAACAAAGCAGAAAAGCAAACACATCAAGCAACACAAACGAGTGTCGTACGATTACGATCAGTGACATCAAGCAGAAAAGCAAACACATCAACAAACGTGTGTCGTACGATTACGATCAGTGACATCACGTATGGAGTCATATTTGACCGACGTCATGTGATTCTGCGTCGAGGGCTACAAACCTTTCTTTGATTTCTTTAGCCGCCTGTAAATATAAACATACGGAGGATTAAACCAGTGTTCTGTTCCAGGTTTGACAGGTTTTAAACATTGTCATGTCTGACCATCAGAAATTCTTCTTCATTATTGATGGACAACGTTTGATTCGCAAACTCCAGCAGCTCCTCACACGACTCCAGAGCAAACTTTCCTTCAGAGAGCTGTCTCTAGAAGAAAAGAAAAAAACCCCACAAACATACAGTATTTACAATATTAACTTTTTGCAGATACCTGATACGCCGATATTGTCCAAACACTTAATTTCCGATATCAACTGATACCGATATAGGCCTGGTAATATTTATTTATTTCTCTGTACTATTAAATGAGTCTCTGGCACAATCATTCTGCAATAAAATCAGCTGCAATGCTGCCATCTAGTGATTTTCGCTTTCATATACAGCCGTTTTTTCCCCAAAACTATTTTTAAGGGCACACGTCATTTGACTAAACCCAGACATTGCGTTTTCGGGTTTTCATTATTGGAGGGAAAAAAACGATAACGATTCTTACAGATATTACGTAATTATACCAATATCGGCGGATAATATCGGACATTCCTATAACAATCACAATAATTAGAATTCAAATGTAAACTGATGAAACAACAACCTTCAAACATGTATTAATAAAAATAACTGCATTACATCAAAAAATGGTAAATAAAAAAAATCAGATTCCATACCTGAAGCTCCGCCTCCTTTCTGCACTTTTCATCCTTGATGATGTCACGAAGCTCCTCACCTTTCTCGTGGAGGGCACAGCTCAGCTGCTCAAGCTCCGCCTCTAAGTCTGTCATCACCTTACATGAATCTTCCTGATTGAACAACAGTTGCTTTTAGTTTTTTTTTCAGTGTAGTTTTTCATTGGAGCAGCATCGTCGTCCCCACAGTCGCCCCCGAACCTCACATTTACAGCCGTATATCTGCAGTACCTGTTGTTGTCCTCTCACCTGTAGTCCCACCAGTGTGCTGTCAACCGCTTCCAGGAAGTTGTGCAGCTCCTCGTTCTTATTGGCTAACGTGCTGATGATCCTGCGCAGAGCTTCCTGTTGACGTCAAAAACATCAACATCAACATTAGTACTGCAACTTAGTACCTGCTCAGGATATAACGTTACTTTAGTCTAACAACACATTTGGTTTTTGGTTTTTACTATTGATACTTTTACTCAAATGTCACCAATCAATATGCAGCTTATCAACGGGATCATAATGACCAACCAAGCTAAAGTTGCGCAGCTTTTACGCATCTAAACTCGTAATCACGAGAACCTTTAACAACCTAGTCAACATTAGCCAACAGTTATCCACGACATTTATATCTACAAATACCATCTCCTCTACTATTGATCAAAACCCGACAGTGTGAGACGAGGCACGGTCACAGCCGGACAGACGAGATAATCGATTTACGTCACACGGTTACAGACTAGCGCTGATCGATGATTAGTTGATTTACTCTAATGGTGATTTAATGGGAACCTGTCATTTCGAATTATTGTCACTCATCCGGAACGAGAGCAGGATGAGGAGAGACGTTCAGTCAGAGTAGAGAGAGAGAGAGAGAGAGGGAGGGGTGAGGGGGGCAGCTAACAGATCTCATCTCGTTAGCCTCTCTCTAAATGTATCTTCTACGTGACCGAGTATGAAGGTCGGTGTTCTTCGATCGGTCTTACCTTCTGTGTATCCATGATCGGACAGTGGACAGAAAAAGAGAGAGTGAGTGGAGGTCAGAGTCCAGTAATGTTAGTCACTGCCCCACTTCCTGTCTACACTTTCAAAATAAAACACATCTAAAACCGTGAAACACGTTCTTACCATTGCACAAAAAAAACGTTTATTTATTTGCACTTTGATTAAATCCAAAACTATATCGCGATCTTTTTTTTTTTTAAATTGCGCCTTCGAATTAAGAAACGGAGAACGTTAAATTAACCGGAACTTTAAAAAATTACGCCTTCGAATTAAGAACCGGAGAACGTTAAATTAACCGGAACTTTCAGATTAAGAGTTCGAAGAACGTTATATACCAAAATATAAAAACGGACGTTTTAAATGGTTTTAAATTCCTACTGTATCACCGTGTCATTAATACCACAAACATAATAATTTCGACCAATTTTTAAAGATTTTCTTTTTAATACAGACAACAAAAACACCAGGCATCGGAAACTTCTGCTGCTAAGAATTTTATTGTTTCAACATTTAACCAAAAACTTTTTGCCTATTTTTCCTCCTGGAAAAAAAAGAAAAAAAAATGAAAGAAAGAAATTCAAAAGTCTTAACTTTTTGGCAAAATGTTTCATCATGTGCTTCAACAGTTTTACAGCAATAACTTATGTTTTACAGTGTTATTCGTTTCCAAGGCAACACAGAGCAGGACCTTTATAGTGACAAACAGGTTTTTTTTCTTAGAATAAAAGTAGTTTGTTAAGTGAAAAAAATCTTTAATTCTGAAGATTAAAAACATTTTCGATGCTTATATGACTTTCCCCGTTACATTCGACACTCGTTAAATACCAGAACCAAACTGTTAGCGTTATGTCACCATTCTAACTGTCATCATTAACGGTAGGGGGCGGGGCCATGCAGAGAGACAGACAGAATGAAAAGGGCTAAGCGCTACGCGTAGTTTTAGTGGTATAAAAACATAAAAAGTTCTTTTTTTTTTTTTTTTTTTTAAAGGTTTCTCTCATTGGCTGGGGAGACGAGGTTGACAGGGGACAGAGCCAACGCTGAGAGGACGATGGGGGTTAGGGCTAGCACTTAAATACAGACGCATTTCCTGTACAATTTTTTCTCTATATTTACACTGTAGCGGTGATTTTAGTGTCCGGATTTTTTTTTTTCATACTGATGTTACAATGTACGAGCCACGTTCACCACTGCCTCCACCACTTCCGGCTCCCGCACCACCCTCTCCGCCCTTAGGCTCCCGTTTTTTGGTGACGGGGGTGGGAATGAGTGAAGGCCGCGTCGGGGTGGTGGATGTGGACGAGCTGCTGTTTGCCGTAGTAGTTGCCGTAGTGGTGTTGGTATGATCAGCGCTGCTCTTCCTGGGGCTGGGGGTGTAGTTAAAAGGGCTGACTCGTGCTGCTACTGCACCACTACGCTGCTGACCACGCTGCTGCTGCTGCTGCTGCTGCTGAGGTGGCGCGAGCTGTGGCTGCTGACGCTCATGTGCTGGTGCCTTGTCGTCCAGACTTTCACAGCTGCGACGCAGGTTAAGGTTTGAGGAGGAAGAGGATGATGACGACGAAGAAATCTTTGAGAGGGCGGGGCCATCGATGACAGGCGGAACACCGGCAGCAGTAGGAGTGCGGGCCGAACAGGAAGAGGAGGATCGTGGGTTGTTGACAGGACAGTCCTCTATCCGAACCCACACATCTTCAGTTTTGTCGGTGAAGTTGCGTCCTGACGAGAAGTCTGCGTTACTCTTCGTTTTCCTCCAAGTCCCTTTGCCCCTGACAGCCAGCTCCTCCTCACTCCTGCCCTTGTCGCTGGACTCAGACGACGCCGACAACACTGACGACGAGCTCCCGGTCCGTTTCCACGTCCCCACGCGTGGTAAAGACGTAGAGTGTTTTCCGTTGGCTCCGCCCCCTCCGCCTCCTGCACTGTTCTCCCTCTTCCACGTGCCCGTTCGGTTGAACCGTGACGATGCCACTTCCTGAGGACGAGAGGGGCTCTCCGACTGCGAGCGGTTGACGTCCGGTCTTCTGGTTGCTGTTGGAAGTTGTGTGTCGGGACTTGTCGGTGATTCTGATGCCACTGACGCGGCAGCGGCGGCGGCGGCAGACTCTTCGAGTTTCCTCTTAAGCGTTGGACTCGGTGCCTCTTTAATAAACGTAGACTGTCGGACAAGCGTGGGCTTTTCAGGCTCTGCCTTCTGCTTCTTGGCCGCAGAACCAACCCTCGATGCCGACTCGCTCCTCGGGATGCCAGGACCACCGCTGGTACTCCTCAGTGCTGGGCTCTGTTTGGGTTGTCTGGAAGCCGATGACGAAGATGATGCACTTCCTGGAGAAGCTGTGCGAGGCAGCTGCGACAACTTCCCTCCTTTTTGACCGGTGGCTGAGGATGAGCGGGATGGTGTGGAGTCCCGAGACGATCCACCACCTCTGTCTTCACTGCAGCCGGGAGCTTTGGCAGCAAGGGCTGTTCTGGGTTTACTCCGCCCCCTGGCTGCAGGCTCCGTCCTTGGCTTTCCAGTTATTAGACTTCTGTAAACCTTCTTGTTTCCCCTCAACGCCTTTGCCTCTTCCTCTTCCTCCTCCTCTTTCTTCTTCGTCTCCAGCGTGCTGCGCTCACCTGCCTTGATGATCCTGGCACCGCGTTTCACCTCCTTTTCGTCCGCCTCTTCTTCAGCATTGTTTTTGGCAATCGGAAGATGGAAGGGTGAGCCCACGGACTTGAGCGAAAGAACCGAGTCCGAGTCTGAAGACGGTTGACGAGAGAGGGAGGAAGCGGCGGCGGCGGCATTTAGGCTGCTGACGATGGAGTTTGCTCCTTCCTGGATTGCTTTCCAATCAAATGACTCGGAGTCGGGGGAGGTGGGGCTTCTGGGAGCAACTGAAGGTTCCTCTTCAGCATGAATGCTTTCCTCAGCTTTAGGAACAGGGACTGCTGTGTTGAGAGTGGCGGGCAGGCTGGAAGGTACTGTAGCAGCAGCTTTTTTCTTCTTCTTGGGCATGGCGGAGCTGATGCACTCCTGCAGCAGGTCGTCCTCCGAGTCGATGCTGAGGGAGCTCAGCGACGAGTTCCTGGAGAAGCACACAGGCGTGTCCTCCACATGAAACGCTTTGGGAGCGTAGCCGGTGGCGGCCGGAGGACGAGGCTTCGACTCCACGTTCTGTGCGGGAGGAGGAGACTTGCTTCCGGTTTTCCCTCCTTCCTGTTGCTCAGGAATGGGCGGAGCAAACTCCTTGTTGTTGTTCTCCTGATCGATGTCACTCAGTGAGCTCAAAGACGAGTTCCTGGAGAAGCAGACGGGCGTGTCCTCGATGGCAAACTTCTGCTTTTCGTCTGTCGCGATTTGATTGGTGGCAGGTTTGGTACGAGGGAAGACAGCGGCCGTTTGCTGCATCCGTTTCCTGCCTTCTTCTTCTTTTGTTTTTCTTTCCTCTCCCTCCTTTTCACCGCCGCCACCACCGCCACAGTCGTCTTCGTCAAAGTCGAGGGAACTCAAAGAATCGTTTCGTGAGAAGCAGCACGGCGTCCCTTCGATGGGGGTGTAGTGTCTCGGCGAATCAAAGGCAAACCCTGGTTTTGGTTTAGTTGCTGTTGTCGTTGTTGCCGAGGTGACGCTGTAAACTGACCTCTGAGGCATTGGCTTAACAGGCGACGTTGGCTTCTTCTTCTGCTGCTGTTGAGGTCCGAGAGGAGACAGGGCTGAAGGAGGAAGAGGAGGAGGAACAGGTGGGGTCTGGAGGTGTTCATTACTTGTTGCCACCCTGATTTGTTTTTTGGGTTTGGCTTTGGGCATCGCAGCACTTATGCACTCGGCCAGGATGTCGTCACCGTTCTCGCCCTCGGGGACTCCGGTGCGTCGTCTTTGAGGCGCTGCGGGGGACACCACAGCTATGACGGCTTCTGTCACCTCCTCATTTGGTGGAGAGTCAATGGTGAGGTCACTGAGGGAGGTGGCCGTGGAGAAGTTCAGAGGTGTTCCTTCCACGCAGTAAACTCTCGGCACGTCCTCTTGAGAAAGAGGTGGAATGTCCTTTCTTTGTGGTGGTTGGGTGCGGGTTTGGGGTGGGAGGAGCTTGTAGACCGGAAGCTGGCTGGGTTTGCGAGGAGCTGCTTGTTGTTGTTTCTTTGGTTTTCGTGAGGCCTTGGGCATGGCCATATTGATGCAGGCCTCCAGGATCTCAATGTCATCGTCGTCATCTGATTCGTCGAGGATTGGTTCCACAGACTCCTCCTCTTTCTTTTCGCTCTCCTTGCTCTTGTCCTCCTCCTCCTTTGACTTCAGCTCTGTGACAATGTACGGCTCATCCATTGTTATTGCACTTAGACTGGACGCTCTGGAGAAGCCGTGTGGCGTGCTCTCCGTTGCAAAGTGGAGCAGGATGTCAGCACTGCTCTCCTCCTCATCCTTCTTCGCTGCATCTTCTTCCTTCGTTTGCTGCACCTGCAGCGGTGGCGGTGGAGTCTTGGCGCGACTTGGCGGCATCGTCTGCCCCGGGCTATCGGGCAGATCGCTGGGGCTGACCACACCACTCGGCACGCCACTGCACGGCTCACTGGATCGCACGGAGCTGGCAATGGAAGACGTAGAGAAACTGTCCAATGAGCTGACGGATGTGCATCGGCTGAACATTAACGGCGTCTCCTGAGCGTACGGTTGCTCCGGTGGACTTTTGGGAGTCCTGGCCCCAGAGGATGATGCTACATGGTGGTGGTGGTGATGGTGGTGGGCGTGGCCGTGGTGATGGTGATGACTTCGTCGCCCACGTGAAGACGGAGCGGCGGCGGTCTGGCTCTCGGCCTCCTTTTGCTGCCGCTGCTGCTGCTGCTCGTGAACATCTTTGTCACCGTCAGTGAGAGTTGAATAATTGTTGGCACCGACGCCACTGATGACACTCCCTCCCCGACTCTTTCTGCCCATCATGTCACCATCCTCGTCCTCCTCCGATGACAATGAGGACAGTGAGCTGCCCCTGGAGAAGCAGATGGGCGTGTCCTCCACACAGTACGTCTGCGTTGACTCCTGGTTGCTTTTCGTTACCCCTCGATTTCCTTGAGTTGGAGCAGGAGGAGGAGGTGGTCGGAGCTTATTAGCGGTAGAGGACTTAGGAGGGGTGATGGAGGGGGTGGTGGTCTCCTCAGGCTTAAACAGGGGCTTGCGGGCGCCATCAGCACCGTACTTCAGGCTGTAGTCGATTGGCTGCTCACTGGTCGATTCGCTGCTGAAGGTTGATGTTGAGGTAACGACGTATCGTGGAGGTGGAACTGATGCCATGCGACTGCCGCTTGTGACAGATTCACTGCCATCGTTTCTTCTTCTCAACCGAGAATCCTGGCCGTCATCGTCGTCACTCTCAATCCCACCACGGTGATTTGGACTCTGTCTCCCAGAGTTCAACTGTTCATCTGAATATTTCAGGCTGTAGTTGATGGGCGTGTCAAGCTCCGCGCCATCGTCATCGGCCATGTGGTTAGCGCTGCGGATTTTATGAGCTAGGTCAGCCGGATATTTCCTGTACACGCAGCACTTGTTGGCACCGTTCTCGTCGGAGGAGTAGAACGGTTCTGCCGAGGGTTTGGTCTTGCCACGATTGCCGTATCCGTCTGCGCTCGTCACACTGTTCAGGCTGTCACTCGATGCTCGAACACTCGGCGGGAACACCGGCCGAGGATACACAGGTTCCTCCACCATTCTCTTCGATCCTTCCCCGTTCTTTGGGCTTGACAACACCGGTGTGTTAGCGTACGGCCGTGTGATGGCCCCTCCTCCTCCTCCTGAACCGTTGCAGCCACGCCCCTTCCTGTGTGCAGCTTTGGGGCTCAGGTTGTCGATGTTGTCGAACGTCTCCGACAGCTGCTGTGCGTCCAGCTCCTCAAACAGAGCTTTCTGTTTCCGGGCGTGCAGTGACGGGGCGCCCGCGCCTGGTGACACCACACTGGCGTCCTTGTAGCGTGCCGGGCGATTGGCCATCAGGTTGCGAAGCGCGGCAGCACTTCCCATGGCTATCATTTTGTGGCGAGAGTGGATGAGGTTACGGAGCATGCCCACAGCGCCCAGCTCCCACAGAGTCTCCTGGTCCTTGGCGTCTCGGGCTGAGAGATTCCAGAGCGTGCCACAAGCATTGGAGACGATGGTCAGACTGTGAGACTTCAGGTGCTGCAGCAGCGTCGGCAGGCAGCCGTGGTCCCGGAGCACCTGCCTGTAGGACCACAAAGAAGGTGGAGCGTTACGGGTGGCGGAGGTGCTGGATTGTAATCAGACATTTTTTTTGAGGGGGTGGTTTCTTACCTGTGCGCTTCGTTGGTGGCGATAAGGCTGGACACGTTGCGCAGGATGCCTCCACCGCTTTCAATGATGGCTAACGTGTTGGTGTGACTGCGATGAGTCAGAGTTCCAACCAGAAACGCCAGAGCACCGTCTACGGCACATATGTCAGCCTTATTCTCAGTGCAGTGTGCCGATAAGTTCCAGAGAGCACTCAGTACGGACTTCAGCGTCGATTCCTGAACAGAGAAAAAAAATTAAAAATTCACAGTGAACCTCAGGTTCAAACCTAGTCGTATAATTATACCGTTCTGTACTTTAGGGCTCTTTACCTTCTGGACCTCCAGGGCACATCCCATCAGCGCCCGCACGCTGCCGACCTCACGTAGCGTCTTCTTACTGTTCACATCAGCGCGCCACGACAGGTTTCTCAAGACGCTGGCGATCACCTGCTGCAGATCTTCACTCTCTGACTTGAGCTGGGCAACCATTGCTCTCATGCAGCCCTTCATTGAACACAGTGTGGCCTGGAAATAAAAGGTAAAGACTCTGACTCTGTTCCATCTGAACATCAGTTCCTAACTCTGGAACAGAGGGATCTACATTCGGAATCACTAGAGAAGAAAGAAAAGAAAAAGTACATGAACCAACACCAGGAATATTGGACTGGGAATTGGGGAGAAAAAAATCAATAACTGATGGAGGAGGAGATTGATAAGAAACACTGATCGTCTATATTATTTTACACCCCTTAAGAAATACTAATGTAAAACTTGGTGGGTTAGTGGTTTGTGCTCTTGCCTTACAGTAAAAGGTCTACTAGTGAAACCCCACCTTTTTTTCTGACACACAGGTGAGGTTGACTTTTCTACATGTATGTAGATCTTTAGATTAAATGTCAGAATATTTCAGCGTATCCATATTTTCTTACACCTCCTACATGTAGTATAGCTACGGTTTCTTTATCTATAAACGTAGTAAACTTTAATTATTTTTTTATTGAAATCAGGTAAAAAAAAAAAATGTACGAAGACGAGGCCAAACCTTATTTGCTACATCTCCGAAGGTGAGGTTGGTGAGGCCCATGCCAGCATATCGCCTGAGTGTCACACTGTAATGATCACTGCTCAGCCCAAACATCTCACAGTCCACCTGGAGAAGTTCAGCCACGGCCTGAAGACCACCTGCGGGGACAAACAACGCAAGAACATCAGCGTGTGAACAGCGACGCGTGTGTCTCAGGAGGGAAGGACGTCACGGGCAGGTCACGCACCGAGCTCGTTCATGGCGTGGCGATGTTCTTCGTCGAAGGACAGTTTCATCAGGACGCAGACGGCCGGACAGATCTGATGTTCAACTGGAGACGGCACTGACGCACAAACACACACAAACACACACACAGTTATTCCAAAGACACATCCACTTGTAAAATTCCCATCGTTGGTACCTAGGTGGCAGCAGATGGCTATGACAACTGGAGAAAAAAAAACCTTCAGAGCCGTTGAAGGAGATGATTGTGAGTGTCTTTGAAAAAAACCTTCAGAGCTGTTGAAGGAGATGATTGTGAGTGTCTTTCTTCAATTCCTGCGAGTAAATCAGAGTTGTCTTCAACTAAACAGGATGAGATTTTGGTGAATTTAGTAAATTTAAACTAAGAGGTTATTATATTTTATCACATATACTTTTTGTCAGACTTCGACGTTCGATGGTGTGTCGTGGGGTTTTCCTAATGAAAAATTAGGACACATTTGTGAAACACTGTAATAAACCATGTGTTGTAAGTAAATATAAAAATATGCATTTGTTTCATTACAACCATTAAAGTCCTTCTGTGTAAATTAACTGTTGATTAATCAACTTCAACAAAGAAACTGATTTGGAATCTGTTGACAAGAATATTGATGTTTCTAAATCTGATGCTCAAAAAGCTGCAACAAGCTGTGACCATGTTTAAGCCTCAGAAGAACCACATTTACAGGACAACATTGACTTTTCAACCATCTTTCTTAATTGCTTCAACCTGCGTCTCAATAAACAAAGGCTGAGGCCTCGTGATCCAAAAGTTTAACAACTCATATTTTGGTACTGCTGCTGTCGGAGAGGTACGATCTGTGGAAAACAAAATGACAGAGTGACCTGCTGCGTGGGTTTGTGACCGGACTCACTGGGGTTATCGTCCTGCTCCACGCTCCTCTCGTGGTTCTCCTGCCAGCTCCAGCAGGCCTCGCAGTAATGACGCACCTGCTCCAGCAGGTGAAGCACTCTGATCTCACGCCGCCCTCGCTTGTCGTCAGGCTGACTGTGGACGATGTTGTGGAGAGCCGCTGACGCCCGCGCCCGGGCCTCCTTACTGCCTCTGGAGTTCCCTGGGTTTTAGAAAGATGCTACTTAGTATTTGTGACAACACGCATACGAGTACGACTCAAAGGGTGGAGGACGGTGGAGGCTCCAGTTTACCGAGCAAAAGCGAGTCCTTGTCGTTTCCGTGAAGCAGCTGAATGAGGAGGGGGAGGCAGCCGGACTGACGCATGGCGATGCAAGAGTCCTGGGAGCTCGACATGGCCAGGAGTGTCCGGGACATGTCGTCTTTGTCATGTGTCCCCAACATTGACAGAAGACTGTAGACCATCTCCACCTGCAGGAGGTCACACAGAGGTCATTGGTCACTCATCTGACTGCATTGCTGTGACACGGCAGAGAGCTAGAGTTCCAGATCCCTGACCTTTGTTCCAAGGTGGCTGGTGATTCGCCGAGGTACGGAGTAGCTCGCCTCATTGGCCGGCTCGTGATCCAGTCTGCTGCTGCTGCTGCTGGGATTCTGCGGAGGAGAGGAACTGAACCTTAAACAGAGAATCACACTGAGACGGTGGAGAATAAAAAGCAAACACTGACCTGAGCTGCGGCCATTCCACTGCTCTCTGTCCCCTGAGATCCTTCCACCTACAGAACACAAAGACACAGGTGACGCAGATGGACAGGAACGTTCTGAAGTGTCGAAACAACCTGGAATAACTGTCAAGTGACATGTATACTTTATAATAATAAAAATCTTTCGATCTCATCAATTTTAATTCCCCATTACAAAATAAAAGTTGTCCTTTTTTAGGGTGTCTGATATGAAGTTTTTGTCCAGAGATACGCTGATATCGTCCAAACGCTTAATTTCCGAATCCGATATCAACCAACATTAATATAGCGGGGCAGTGGTACCCTGGTGGTCAAGGAAGTTAAGTGCAGTCTGCTCACTAAGGTTAAAGCAGTTATTTTCTGACATGCCCCCCCTAGGGGACAGAAGTTTCTTCAACCCCCGACCACGCAAATTACTACGCAAAATACTATTGACCGCCTGGTAATATTTATTCATTTTTCAGTACAAACCACTGTATGAGTTCCAGGATTCTGAACACAATTTACTGATTATCAAAATAGATGAATAAAATGAGCTGCAATGCTGCCATCTAGTGACTTTCACTTTCATATACAGCCGTTTTCCCGCAAAACTATTTTTTGAGGCACATGTTTTGCGAAGACACGTTTTGCGAAACCCAGGCGTTGCGTTATCAGGTTTCCATTATTGAAGGACAAATTAATAACGATTTTTAAAGATATCACATAATTATGCTAATAACGGGGCGATTTTATCGGTCACTGGATATTATGGAATTATGCCTTTTTTTTCTACATAGCATGACTCAAGGAGATAATATTCAGTGTCAGACTTGTTGTTGTAGTGAGTGAGTTTCACAGGTGAACTCACCTGCAGTCGGGCTCCCAGTCTCAGGATGTCCTTCTCAATCTGCTGTATACGAGCCACTCGAGCCTGAAAACACACACACACACACACACAAAGGTTTCAGAAACACGTCCAGTGGAATCCACCCAGTCCAGTTTGACCTTCACTCCCGAGCGTACCTGAGCTCTTCTCTCCATCTCCTGACAGGAACCCAGCTGCTCCTCCATGGCTGATCGGATCTGACGAGCCTCGAACTCCAACTGACGTCGACTCATGTCCGTTTGCAGCGTGAACTGCAGAGATGAAGTGATCGGATCAGAATGATTGATACAAAACAGCAGTTGAACATCGTGGACATCGGGACTCGTGTGTGTCAACGTGATGTCGTACATTTTCTGTTAGCGGCAGACTGTCGATCCTCTTGGTTAGATCCTGCAGCTGAGCGTAATACCAGTCCTTCTCTTTCTCCTCTTTCTCCAGTTCAGCCAAGAGGAGAGACCTGTGGAGGAGGAGGGGGAGTTGAAACAACTAGCCATTTACTTGGCTGCAGCTACCCCTGGTGGCTATATGTGTATGTCATATACGTATACATGTATATGTATATGATACCATGTAATTTACGGATCATTGAGCCCACCTGAATATATGCCACACACTAAATTAAAAAAAAAATTAAATAAATTGTACATATATAAGACGCAGGTGTCCATGTTGTAACATGAGATATTTACACAAAGATGTATATATATACATATATACACATACATATATATACACATACATATATAAATATATACACATATATACACAAACACACATATATATACACATAAATAAAACTTTTTTTTAAAATAAAATTAAATATATATGGTGTCATCTTCTGTTTTTTTTTTTGTTTTTTATTTTACTGAAATCCATTCGTAAAGTTTTTTCAAAGAAACTGTTCTACTCGTTACCTCTCCTTTTCCAGCTCCTCCAGGCAGCGGTCATGGCTGTCTCTGCCTGCAGATGGCAGCCCTCTCCTGGGGAAAGCCGAGGCGGTGGCTGAGCCTCCTGACGCTCCTGCGGCTCCAGAGCCTGAGGAGCCTGAGCTCGAGGAAGAGGACGGTGGAAGAGGCGGCCTGGACCTGGGCTTGAAACCTGGTGCGTCCAGACTCATCTCTGGACGGAGGGGGAGAGGAAGAGGATGAAGTTGGATCTGTGTGTGTGTGTGTTTGTGTGTTTGTCAGTGTGTGTGTGTCTTTAAATTGACAATCAATCTCTCAATCAGCTCCAACTGAGATCCAGAGGCCTCTCCTGATTCTTCTTCTATGGTACCTTGCAACTGCTTCAGCACTTCCTGTTTATGGCACAATGACATCACGGTGACATTTAAAAACAGATCACGTTTTATCTAATCATCATTTCACTCAAACAAGAAAGACAGCAGTAACAAGTGATCGACCGGCCACGACTCTCTCTTTGTCTCACTCACCACGATGAAACGACAGCGCTCGTACAGTGACATGATGGGACTAACAACATTCACACCGTTTGCTGCTGTGGCTCATCCGCACAACAGGAAAAAGGAAACGGGAAACAGGAAATGAGTGTGTGTGTTTGGGGGAAAGAAGAGAACAGAAAGAATCACAACCAAAAAGGGGAAATAGATAAAAAAAACAGACTAAAAAAATGACAAATTAAAAATTTTAAAGAAATAATAATAAGAAAAAGATAGCATTAAAGGCAGGACTATGGAAAGGGAACAGACATGAGACAGGAAGGACACAGACTCTGGTCATTCTGACTCAAGTTTCCTGAGTCCTGTGTCAGACCCAGATCCTCACACACAGACATCACACTCTGAATAACAACAAGGAGCTCATTATCAACGTCAGAGCGGCGTCATGTGACTGCTGAAGAAACACCACTTCACCACACTATTCTGAGTTTAAGGGAGAGAGAGAGAGAGTCTGGGTTTACATGATAGAAAAGAGAGAGAGAGAGAGATTGAACTTATACAAATGGAAACAGACAGATGGTCAATCAGCTGATCAATTGAACTTATACAAATGAAACAGACAGATGGTCAATCAGCTGATTGATGAGGTCACCTGATCATCTGACCTGATCATCATGTTGGACACCAGCCTCATGGTTAGTTAACCGACAGATGATCATGTGACTTTTGACCGCGCTGTATTTCGATGTTGACCACGTGACCTCCCCGGTACTGACCTTCATGTTGGACGCCTCCGTCTCCAGCTTGGTCAGATGGTTGGAGTTGTCCTGCAGTTCCTGCCTCAGGTTTGAGTTCTCCATCTTTAGAACCTCCACCTGCCTCAACAGCTGATCATATGAAGCTGCTGCCATGTTGGAAAAGCCACGGCTGACCTGTAGGGGGCGAGGGGAGGGGTTGATTATTTTACCAAAAGGCACTAATGACCAGCTGGTTATATATATCATCCCAGGTTTATCAGCAGCGTAACTCTGATTATCAGCAGAGCCTCGAGTGGAAGAGACATCAATGTTTGTATGAGATCAGCAGCGGGACTTCAGTGGGCAGGAAACTCGACACCAGACGCATCATAACACCGCCTTAAAAAGACTTTATAAAGCTGGAAAAATCAATAACGTGGAACAGCCTCCTCTGTCCATCTGCACCAGCTGATGCCACAAACAAATACATGAACAAAAAAAACCCAACAATTTGAAATCTGAAGTCATTTCTACAACTCACAGAGGAAGGTCGACCAATCATCATCATCATTCTCCAATAATAACTTTAATGACGTCACTATGTCACTGCATACGCCTAAAGAGTAGAAAAACCACCTTTGGTCCATTAGAGCTACAATGATTTTCAAACACTCTTTTGTCATTACTGGTAAAGACTCATTCATTTTTTTAATTATTCAGTGGATTGATGTTAAGAATTAAACAGACTGAATGACAAAGCTCTAATTCCCCTTACTCAGCAAGTCATTTCTCTGGACCTCAAAAGTGATGTGGCCAGCAGGGGGCGTACATCGACCAAAGTCGGCATCAGCAAAAGGAAAAGTCAAAGCATACGTTTTTTAAATACTTCCATTTAATTTCCTCTTTTGCGTTCCGTTTTTGATAAGAAAGTAATACAATTTGCATTTTAACGCAAACAGGAAGTGATGAGTTGGACTGGTTTTCTGACAGGTCGGTCTAAGAAGACATTTCTGTTTGCCCCAAATATACCAGAGTCATCCAAGTACCACATCATTGATAAAGACAGTACCGATGCCCTGCAGTCAGATGCTAAACAACGTACCATAGTGATGCTGTGTGTCTATGGTGATTATGGAAGTGTTGTGTTTTAGTTAAAAAAAAAAAAAAAAGACAAAAACCCACTCTTACCGACACGACACGCTGCTGATTTCCACCGGAAGAAAACACTTCCTATCAAATATTAAACCTGTTTTCTCCTTTTTAATCCTGCACCCGATTCCCACCAGGATTAATTTGCACCGCAGTCATACTACACTTTGCAAAAGTAATACTAAACCACGGAGCAGTAATCCTACAGTGTACTGCAGTACTACAGTAATACTACACTACTGCACAAGTGATCTTACTTCCTGATGTCAAGTCGTCAATTATTTATTAATGACATAATCATCATTAAAAAATGATCCCGGTGTTCAAACAGTGCTCTCTGATCAATGACCAATAAAACCAAACACACAGGAGCAGACGACGCCGAGGCAGCAGCAGCAGCAGCAGCAGCAGCAGCAGATAGTGAAAGACAGCAGATAACTGCAGCCTCTCCTCCTCCTCCCTCTATCTCCATCCTCCATCACCGGGCGGCCATTTTCTCCACCTCCTCTCTCCTCCCATCATCATCTCTGCCTCCTCCACACACATTTCCCTGGTTTTCCTTCTGTTTTCCCTCAAACCATGGCTTTTTCTCTCACCCCTTAACAGAAGCTGACCAAATAAAAGGGAAGGAGGGAAGATGGAGAGAGCAGACAATAAAATGAGGACAGCTCCCCCCGCTGCCTCTCCTTCCTCCCTCCCTGTCTCCTCCTCCCTATCAGTCACCCATTCTTTATCCAACATTAGCCAGAGAAACACACAGAAACAAGTGAAAGGGTAAATAATGGAGAAATGTTGGGAAAGAAAGAGAAAATGGCAGCTCACCCCATTGCTGTCGCCTCCATCTCCCTCCCTCTCTCTCCCTTTCTCTCTTTCTCTGTCTGACAGAGAGCAGTCAGCTGGGCGAGAGAGCAGCCAATCAGAAAGCAGAGTCAAGCACAGGGGGTTGGGGAGGGAGGGGCAGGCCCCACTCCTGCTCCCAGCATGCTTTGCTGCTGTTGCTGGCTGCAGAATTGACCGGGTTACTGAGACGCTCACGTACACACAAACACAAATCACGGACCGCACACACCAGAGCACTGGCACGCGTATAAAACACGCACACGCTCTTCACAGTTATTCTTGTAAAGACACTGCACTGACTTTCAGTCGTTCTGACAGATCCTATAAAACCTTAAAGGCAAAGCACGCAGACATTTTTTTTTTTTACAAAACAAAACCTCTCTTTTCCTTTGTGAGTGAAACTGGTGGTTCATGTTTTAAACTGAGGTTTAAATGTTGAATGATTATATGGTGGGAGTGTACGTCTCCACAGATGACCAGAGCTCTTCACACTGTCAATGCCTGTTGGGAACATTGGTAAAAGAATAAAATCCTGATTATTTATGGCATTTTGCTGATAATAATTAATGCTAATAATTAATTTGACGATTAATCAATCACAACTGCACTTGCAGGTTTTTGACTCCAAATCAATCGAAATCGCAAAGTGGCAAATTCTTTCTGAAGATTATTCGTACACGATATGATATTTTACACAAGCCTAGTCCTGACAAACACACAAATGACTGTGTGAATTTGTGTGACAGAGATGACTCACAGCTGGTAAAACATGTTCAGGTTTCGTATGAAGTGACAATTCTCTGACTAAAGGTCCAACTCAGGTGTAAGAAACTGACGTGTCATCAGTGCTGCCTACACTGTGCTACAGAAAAATAGTTCTCAGCTCAGTGTTAGTATAACCAACACTAATCAGGGGTAGTTGTTGTTTTTGGCTCAAAAGATGTTTCTGGAGTTTGGGTTGTTAAATATATATTTACATACATATGCCTTTACATATATATTATTAATTATGGCAATAATTAGGTCAGACATTGTTTGTAAGAGTAAAAGAGGTCAAAATAGTATTCTGACCTGCCACAGGGGTTACAAAGAAGAAGAAAACAAGGGTTTCTTGGTACATTTAGTACCAAGAATTTACCATCATACAATTCCTTTTGGAGGACATTTAGTACCAAGAATTTACCATCATTTGTTGGAAAAAAAATAGTTTTTGATATAAAATTTCCTTTTAAGAACAAGTGAACTGGAAGAGAATTACAAGGTAAATCAAAGGTAAGAAAAGCCATGTACTGTAGCATATTTAGAGGATGTCCTGGATTTGGACACAACAATTAAAAGTTCCAGGAAGGTTAGTACACAAAGATCTACCAACAAACTAAATGTTATTCACACATCCCTGTGTTTCCACTGCAATGAAAGCTCCACAAAGTCAGTTCTCTGAAGATCAAACACATGTCTAATCACTATCTTTAAATTCACTTTGGGCTCTGTATCAACATCAAAAGTAAAGCAGCAGTGATTTCTAGCACAAGCGTGACTCCCAACATTTACATTTTGTATGTTTGAACTTGTGTTCAATAAAAACGCAGCATATTACAGACAGTTAGCTCAACTATCTGCACTCATTTATAACATTGGGGATGAGAGAGTCTGACACTGATTTTTCTTCCTGCTCTTGTTGCCAGGAACACACAATGTTCCTGGGACTGGTTTTAATATAAAAGTACATCGTTTGTACAAGTACTTTATTCAAGCAGCAAATTACAAAACAGTGATATAATATGTGCAATGACACCCATGGTACTACCGTTGTAATGACACAGTTGCATACTGCAGTACCATTAGTACTATAAAGAGAGGATATCAATAGTACTTCAACTGTACCTGGCCTTAGAAACAGAGTTAGTGGTACAGGCTGTGATATGATAACTGTAAACGTACCATTGAATTACTAGGACAGTGATTCGACATGGTGTCACTATGAATAGTACAGCTATTCTACACTGCAAAGGTATTATTAGTATGATATATATATATATATATCAGTATCTGCGGCGCCGTATGGCCATGCTGGACTTCCACCTTCCTGATCTTATTACAATAAAACCAGAAGCTTAATTCCTGTATTTTTTCACTCGTTTGCTCTCTTTCCAACCAGGCTAACTACCGTCACCTTCGTGTTCACTTAGTGTATCGTCCATCCACCCAAAACAGCGCCGAGCTATAGCTACGTGTTAGCCAGGCTAACAGTGTGGCGAATCTTACCGTCCCGGTTTGAAGAACCAAACAAAGTTCTCTTCAGACAAGGCCAGCTAAAGGGGACATCACCTGGAAATGTCCTGCCGATTGAAGTCGTTAGAGGCGGCGGAGGCCGCTCATGGTCCTGGTCAGCGGAGTTCTGAAAGTCCGGCAAAGTTTAGCTTAGTCTTTTTGTTGTGGAGCAGCTGCAGCTGCGGTCCGCCATCTTGTATCAGTGTGTCACTCTGTGAACAGGTAGAAAAAAAAGGTACTGTAGCGTAATGCAGTACATCTACTGCGTTTATGAGAAAATAAAAAATAAAAAAACATATAATATTAAAAATGTTGTTGTATCACGATATCACACAGGTTTTACACGATGTAAAAAGTCGTCAATATTAAATGAATATTAAATAAAAAAAAGATTTAAATTAGAATTTTGAAAGAACTTTTTTAGCTTTAAAAATTGCAGCACTGGGATTAACATATATAGAAATGCATCCGAGTTAATTATTAAATCACTGAATTCTAAAATTAAGTCAGACATTTGAGAATTTCACTATATTCTTTAATTCCATTATTCGGAGAATGGAGTCGAAATTTTCTCTCTTCTCCAATTAAGCCAATAAAAGTCTGAAGTCGAAGTCATTATTCAAAATACAATTCCACATCTATTATCCCAGAATTATGGCTGTTTTTATTAACATAACTTTCCGGGGTGAAATTATAGCCTGCTGTGACTGAATTTGATAATTTAAGTAATATATTTAATTCTCTAAAATTGACAAATGGTTAAGGTGCAATAGGCACAGTGTTTATCAAGCTTAAAATTATGACAAAACTTTTGAAAATTTGAACACTCCATACTTATCTAACATGTTGAAATATAAAGACATGAAAAAAGAAAATATAACTCCTTACTGTTCAATAAGAGTTGTGTTGCTCCTTCTCACCAGCGAGTGGCGCTAATTTACCATTGCGTTGTTTGCTAAACGGTAAATAGTTTAACGAGGAAGATGCCGAGGTACGTTTTAAAAATGGCGGCGGTTGTTGATGCTCCAGATAGCTCGGTCTAATATTTTAACCACTGTAAACAACGCGCAGATCCCCGCCGCTGACGTGATGAGGAGCGGGTCACTGCGCAGCGTTTCCGCATGCCTCGTGTGAACAGGACGGCAGTTTTACTGCTGCTGATCGTCAGCAGCTGTGTGTTCCTACTGTTCCAGCTCCATTACTATCGGAAATACGTCAGCAGGGTAATCCTAAAGGAATTATTACAACGTTATTTTCATTTTGTGTCATAAGATTACCTTTGCAAAAACATTTTTTTGTTGAATTTGCTTTTAACTTAAAAAAAATCTAATTGTAATTGTAAAAAATTCTTTGTATCCGTTACATGGTATGCTTCTCCACAGTCTGGGCCTCATATTTTGAGCCAAACGGGCCACCTTACTGCTAGTGACATCCAATGGGTAAGATTTATATATTTTTCTGTTCTTTTAACGTCTATCCTTAAATGTATGAGCACAAAATATAATAAGAATGTGGAGGTATTTCACTGCAGACAGTGACACTACTGTTGAAAAGGTAAACCCAGAGAAAGACTAAATGAAGAGCTCAACCCAGTCGTCATGATTCTCATATATAATAATAATAATACATAATATTTACTGTCCTCACATGTTTTAACAGGGGAATGTCCTGTTACTTTGTTCTCCACAGCAAACAGTGAAGACGTTCCTTGCACTGGCTCAGCGTTTCAGGCTGCCACTGTTTTTAGCTGACACCGCTGCTCTCAGCTTACTCTCCCAGGATGCTTTGCGGCAGCGTGATCAACAAACACACGAGCCACACTGTACCTTCCTGTGCACCAACAGACAAGTCACATCATTTGGGTTACAAGCCAACCTGTGGAAGTACAACGTGAGGCGTTTTGAACTATCGATGATGATGATGAAGCTAACCATGTACCCCACAACTGAAATATCCATTTGTTTTTTTTGTGATAGCCTGACTTCCTATTGGCTGCCGAGCAGAAAGGCTTTGAGCTGCTGCAGCTTCGAGGAGAGGATCCACGATTAGCCAGTTTGGACACGCTGTCAGGAGAAGAAATCCCGCTTCACTTCCTGTTCCGTCTCAACAGTTATATCATTCACGTAGGTGCAGCCATGTCAGCTTTGTTATGACAGTGTTATTATGACAGATGCAGCAACGAAAGCATATTTTGTGGCAGGTGGTGTTCCTGTACGAGCGCAGTGGGAACTACCTGTGGCATGGGGCGTTACGGCTAAAGGCTAACATGGACAGAAGCTTTGCTCCCTTCAAACTTCTTGACTATGGACGCTACAGTGGAGCTTATGACAGGTACATCAGGAGGAATGGAATAGAGAAGCAGATGCATCGGGAGAGAATGGACTATGATGTATTTGTTTCTGTTGTTTTCCTCCTGCAGACCAGAACTCATCTTGACAGTGGTGGATGGTCTTGATATAAAAGTCCCACGAAATGTGACTGGTTTCCTGAACGAGCAGCAAAACGCTCGCTTTTTAGAATGCCGTTATCGTGAGGCACGCAACTTCCTCCAGGTCAGTTATAACAAGTGTAAAATAAATCAAATTCAGAAGATAAGTTTGACAGAAAATGTGATTTTTATTTTTCGTCGCTCTTGTTTGTTTGGCGTCACAGCTCTATCCAGAGGACTCCTCACAAGCTGCGGTGGATTTTCGCAAAAGTGCTAAATCCCTCCTCCACGTCGCTGCTCGCACTCTTCGTGGCCTCAGTGTACCCTTCTGGCTCAGCAGCGGCACGTGTTTGGGTAAAATGTGAAACAGCTCCAACAGGCTGACGTGATCAAATCCCAGCTTCTTTGAACTGATCTGTGTCACTCATTCAAGGTTGGTTCAGACAGTGCAGCGTCATCTCCTACAGTCGAGACGTGGACATCGGGATCTTTATCAAGGACTTCAGACCTGACATCATCTCAGCATTCCGGGACGCTGGCCTGACACTCAAACACAAATTTGGAAAGGTCAGGGTTTTTCCTTTTTAGTTTTGTGAATTTATCGTCAAAAGGTTAATTAATTTAAAAAAAGTTTTACTTGTACTAGACTCAGATCTTTGTCCTTGTACAATGTTTTTTCAACTCAGGTGGACGACAGCCTGGAGTTGTCATTTTTGAGTGGAGATGTCAAACTGGACATTTTCTTTTTCTATGAAGACAGAGACCTCATGTGGAATGGTGGAACTCAGGCAAAGAGCGGCAAAAAGTTCAAGTACGAAACTCTTAAAATCTTTTCAGTCTACGCTCAAGATTTTCTTTGATAAAGTGGCAGATTAGCCGCTTCAGAAGCTCCTCCTGAATGAATCCATAATTTAACCCTAACTACTCAAAGATTGGTTTAAACTTCGACTGTAAACCCGCCTCTGTTGGTTCCCACAGGTACCTCTTCCCGCGCTTCTCACTCTGCTGGGCAGAGCTCCTGGAGCTGAAGGTACGAGTTCCCTGTGAAACACTTGACTATGTGATGGCAAACTACGGCACCACCTGGAGCGTTCCTGTGAAGAGCTGGGACTGGAAGTCGTCACCGAGTAACGTACAAGAAAACGGGCTGTGGCCTCCAGCCGAGTGGGAGGAGCTCATTCAGGTTTACTGAAACAATGACCATGTGGATCAATAATCCCTAATAAAACGGAAACTGAATAAACTGTATTATTTTTGTGTTGTTCTTCTTGGAATCCAGACATGCAGACACCGTACGGACCGGTGAGAAACGTACTTACTTTAACACATTTTTGACAATGTAATGATCCTTCAATGATGGTAACGGCTGATACAACTGGTCCTTGATACAAAAAAGGTCGGAGACCACAGAGTAATGACAGATGACCGACAGGTTTTAGTCAAGGAACACAACCTCAGAGGTGAAGCCATATTAGATGTTAACGTGTTGTTTCTTCAGTCTAGAAATACTGTAATGTCACTAATTTAACCACCTCTTATAGGGATTAGAAATGTTTATGAATCTGGTTCTGATCAGACTGTGTTCCTGTAAAACTGATCAGAACTGTCAGTGTGTGTGTCTACCTCTGATCAAGTTCTTAAAAAAGTCCAAATGAAACCCAATCTTTTAAACCTCTGTCGAACGTTTTACTCATGACATAGAGTTGATAGAATTGATTTACATGTTTTATCACACTGCAGCTCCCAACACTGTTCATCCACGACGCCATGTTTCCACCGTCAGCTTGACCTGAAGTCCATGACTTAAACCTTTTTTTCAGTCCAGTTTTTTAGTACCGGCCATCACTCTGCCGCCTCCCGACTGCGCTCCTTGTGAACCACCAGCCCTTTGCTGATCAAGTCTGGAATCTCGACCGCGAGCCAAGGCCCAAGACCCAAAGCCACAAGGTGCGCAAGGCCGAACTTTGGCGCATTCCGAGCCCAGAGAGGTGCAAAGTGGTCGGTCAGGCAGATCTTCCCACCGCGGTACATCTTAGCGGTTTTACCGTCCAGTTCTGGGATCGCTACCTCAGGCGCGGTGTCGGGGTACGTCACCGGGATGTCAAACTCCAGCTGAAACTCATACCGCAGCAACTCGTGGATGAACCAACACATCCCGGTCCACCGCGTACCCTCCGGGTTGGACTCTAGGCGGAACCAGTCGTTGTCGGCTGCCTTGTTCTGTTCCACGAACTTGATAAGAGCCTGGTACTCTTCCTTCAGACGCTGCGGCCACAGCGCCCGGTCCCGTGGCCCAGCGTGGGTCTTCAGCAGCGGGATCTGTGACACTGCCTTGCGCGTGGCTTCATCCGCCATGACAAATTTTACAGGAAAAAAAATGTATGTAGAATTATTCTTTTTTAAAAAGGTTTGGTTTTAGTTTCAACCGGCTTCAGAGTGTTTCTAGACAGGGAGTGTAGTCTGGAATGACGTGGACTTCCGGGGAAATACAAGACTTCCTTGATGCACTTTTCAAAATAAGGGGATGAATCATATTCGCTACAGTGAAGTCTACGATACAGAGGGGTTTTTATACCACATCACAACAAGAACCCCGCACCATTTATCATCATTACTATTTCCAGCTTTAGTTTATAAACAATGCTGTATATATAACTGAAATTAAAAAAGAAAAATGAATGAATAAGAAGTACAGTAGGCTACATCAAAGTGTACCGTTTAGCAGGTTTGTAGTTTAAACAGGCTAACATCAAAGCTTCTTTACTTTCGTGTTGTGATATTTATCAGCTGTAGATTAGTGTTGATTTGTTCGATCACATCATTATTCACGATTGTTGGTTGTTTAAAAGGGAATAACTTTACGGTCCCAGTTGATATCCGACGGAAATTGCGTCTATAACTGCAGTTCACACCACAGTCCAGGAGGTGGCGGTTAAGGCACGTCAACTAGGTTTTACAGCGGTTCTAAATAACAGTAGAAGAAGAAGAGGTTCTTCAACGTCCGCCATTTGCTCAATCATCGCATTTTTGTTGTTCACTTTAACATTTATTTGAGTATAAACGCCATTTAACCCCGGGGAATCGAAGCCGAGACCGCACCACGTCATAGCGGTGGTCATGGCGGCTGACCGACGCGAGGACAAAGGTGAGACACGAGGGTGTTGCTTTGTTAGCCTTGGTTAGCATGTGTGCTATCTTTGTTCTTAACTAAAGTCACAACGGTGCTGTTCACTTATCGATCGATTAATCGGGTTTATTTGTCAAATAAACGCAGTGATGCCCGTGAGCAAATCGCTGCGTCAATCGATCTCCCGCCTCGATGATGATATTCCGACAGACTAGTCATGAATCATTTATCTTTTGCTTCTTCACCTGTGACGCATTTCTCCACATCAGAGTTCACCAAATTATTTCTTTATTTGAGTTGGAACATATAAATATTATATCAGAGAAGTAACTCCAACACAGGGCATTTTTGGAGTTAATTTGGAGTTTATTTTTCCATAGTTTTTAGCTCAGCTTATACATTAAATTTCTGCCCTCCTCCGCAGGGGGAGCTCTGAACACAGTCACTCTGATCCAGCATTATTTTGGTTCAATATTATTGTTGCATGTTAATGTACGTAAATGAAAACATCTATCAGATGAAGATACAGTTTTCTTGCCTTGAAGTCACTCATCGGTGGCGTCAGTCGTGAAGGTTGTGTTTCAGACTGTTGTCCTGAAGACAGTTCATAATGAGATCAGTGTTGTCACGTGTTCCAGATGGAGAACTGAATGTTTTGGAAGACCTCCTGACTGAAGCCCCAGATCACGATGATGAGCTGTACAACCCCGAGAGTGAGCGTGACGTCAGTGACAAGAAAGGTAAAAACAAGGAAACTGAGTACTATTCTATAGTACTGTAATACTATCTGTAGTAGAGTAGAGTAGTACTATAGTACTGTAATACTATCTGTAGTAATACTGTAATGTTTGAAGTCTGATCACTAAAAAATATTTTTTTTTTTGTTTTTCTTTCTGGCAGGAACGAAGAGAAAGAGTGAGCGTTCCGACAGCCACGACCTGAAGAGGCTCCGCCCGTCGGTGGGCCACAGCTCCACCAGGTCGTCCTCTAATAACAAAAGACCACCAGCTCCGTCTCTTCCCTCCTCGAAAAAGGGCGCGCCAAGCCCTCGTGGCAGGCATCCTGGCAGCTCGAACTACCGACAGGATTACTACGACGACCGCAAAGCTCGACGGGGGCCACGAGAGGCTCCACCGAGAAGCCGCGGGAGAGACGACACACGCCAGAGAGACGCTCCAAGGGGTCTGGAGGGTCTGAGCCAGGTACGGGACCTGAGAATACAGAGCAGTAGTCTGGAGTTAATGAGGATACGTTTTAAGTTATTTGAGAGTTTTCAGCTCCGAGTCACTGAGACAGTTCTGTTATTTATTTATGAAACATGAACTGTTTAAAGATTTAAAATTAGTCAAAGGACTGAAACAGTTCTAAAAAGATCTAGATCGGGGGATGCCCAATAAGTAGATCAGGATCTATCAGTAGATCGCAAAAAGGAGTACTGGGAGTTATGAGGAGTTAAAATACAAATTAAAATAAACAGTGTATTAAGTATCATCAGTAAAGGTAGATGACTGTGGTCTGGTCGATTCTGATCCAAGTGTCAATCACCAAGAATGTTTTTTTTTTCCAACATTTTTCTTCAGAAGTTGCGACGTGATGAGCGGCGTCACAGCCCTACGCCCCACAATGAACACAACCAATCAGAGGAGGAGGCGGGAGAAGAATACGGCTCCGAGGCGGGCTCCGGGAGCTCCTCTCCGGCTGGGTCCCACATAGAGGAGGAAGAAGAGGACGACCAGGAAGAGGAGGAAGACGAGGAGGGCATGGAGGAAGAGGACGAGGAGGAGGAGGAAGAAGGGGAGAAAGACGAAGAGGATGAAGATGAGGAAGAGGAATACGAACGGAGGGTTGGCGATGGAAACGACTATGATACTCGCAGCGAGGCCGGCGACTCCCGCTCCGCCTCCTCCGTCAGCTTCTCAGACGACGGGGAGTCGGCTCACTCAGGCTCCGCCTCAGATGGCTCAGGTAACCATGGCGACCATGACACTATCCTTTATTTTTTGATGGAATTCATGCTTAACTTTAACTTTTGTTGTTAATTTTTGATAGAATCTGAGAAGAAGCAGGAGAAGTTGTCGTCGTCGGTGCGAGCTGTTCGAAAAGGGATGGAAAGTAAGGCTTCACCTGGTTAACTGTCTCTTTGCTGTTGATGAGTTTGAAGAAGAATAATATTTCCATAATCATCCAATCAACTCTTGTTTTCCAGATCCCACCACTAAGCTGCGCTACATCCTACGAGACGCTCGCTTTTTCCTCATAAAGAGCAACAATCACGAAAATGTGTCACTGGCTAAAGCGAAGGTGAGTGGTTTTTATCTGACAGGCTAAAGCTGGGAATGATGAGGTCATGACGTGATGTCGATGATGTCACAACTCTTAGGGCGTTTGGTCGACACTGCCGGTGAATGAGAAGAAGCTGAACGCAGCCTTCCGCGCAGCACGCAGCGTCATCCTGGTCTTCTCCGTGAGGGAGAGCGGAAAATTCCAAGGTTGAAAAAAAAAGATTCTTACATTTATATTTTCTCACACAGTGATTAGTCTCAGTCTGATGATTGTGAACTCCCTCCCACAGGGTTCGCCCGCCTGTCGTCAGAGTCCCATCACGGCGGCTCGCCGATCCACTGGGTTCTTCCTGCGGGCATGAATGCCAAGATGCTGGGCGGGGTCTTCAAGATCGACTGGCTCTGCAGGTAAGTGGTCCTGACGGGGAGTTGGACGTTAGACAGGCAGACCTGTCGTGTGCTTACGCTGTCTGTGTACGCACCCACGCAGGAGGGAGCTGCCGTTCACCAAGACGTCTCACCTGTCGAATCCCTGGAACGAACACAAACCGGTGAAGATCGGCCGCGACGGACAGGTGAGCTCGCCACGTTTACGTAACCCTCCTCGTGTGAGTCGTTGTGGATATTAGGTTTGCTAAATGCATGAACTTAACTTGGTGAGGTGTAGACTCCTCCACAGTCCGCCGTGTGGTTGAACAGTGTCATCACAGCTAAGGCTCATCTTCGTGTTTCTTTGTTAAATGTTTCGTATCAGAACAAATCTCACAGGAAGCAACGTTCCTGTCTCTGTCCTTAACAATAAAATACCTCCAAACCGCTGATCTACTTCAGTGGACTAGTAATAAAGAGAGGGGGCGCTGTTACTTCTGATCTGTTTCTTGTTTTTAGTAGACATTTTAGAACCTCCTCCAGGTTTTTTTTTTTTTCTAAATCAGGTTTTTTTTTCGGCAGGAGATTCAACCAGATGTTGGTGCTCAGCTCTGTGCCCTGTTCCCATTGGACGAGAGCGTGGACATCCACCAGGTAGCCCGTCGAATTCGTCACAAACGTCGGACACCTTCAGAACCTCGGCCCCGAGGCCGACCACCGCAGCGCGAACCGGGAAGGTTAGCCAATCATCAAGCTCCTCCTCCCGCTTCCTGTTCTCCTCCTTCTCCTGCTGTGACCACAGCGCCGCCTGCTGCTGGATGACGGAGACGACTGCTTGTAGCCAGTGGCTAGCCATGGCGTCGCAAGTTGCGCCGGTTCTGTGGTTGTTTTGGGTTGTCCAGTCACCGGAGCGACACCTCGCTCTGCGTCAGGGGTCAAAGTCGTAAAGTCAGGCAGGAAGTTAAAAACAGCCGCCAGTCGATGCTTGTTAACGGTTCAGGTCAAAATCTAAACATTTAAGTTGTTTAACACATGAATAGCAATCATTTTTAGGAATTTTTTAAAAAATTCTGTTGTTGCTAAATTTCTTTTCTTTGCAGGAGTTTCGTACTTCGGACGTTAAAAGTCTGATTTCTTAGAGAGACTGTGGCTGAGCCTTTCAAAATAAAATCATAAAGGACGAGCGTCACTGCAGGGGGCGGGGCCGGCGAGTTAGAACTGACTGTTTCTGGTGTTTGAGAAGGTGGTGCAGGTTGAGCAACAGGGGGCGGGGCCTCTGGACTAATGAGGGGGGGTGACGTGTGTGCGAGGGCGTGGCCTCATCACTGGCTCAGTGAACAGGTAACAGACTGTTGGACTGAAAAAAAAAAGATGACCTGCCCCTCAGTAGAAGGACTGGTGCCCCCGCCCCCCTAACCACCTGTTCACCCTCTGAGTCAGGACTGTGTCTGTGCGTGTGTCGCTCTGTTGGGGGGGGTTGGAGTCAGAATCCTGAATGGACTGAAAATCAAAAAGGACTATTTCAGGTCTGGAAAGGGTGAGGCTGTGATTGTTGTGGGCGGGGCTTTGAGTATTGCTTGACAGGACTACAGGACCATCATCATCACCATCATCACTTCCACCCTTTCAAAATAAGAGGGTTTGATCTTTTTTTTTTAAAGCCTTTAACTTGGACTGTTGAGGAGAGAAACTGTTTAGTGTGTTTGACAAACAAACAAACAAACAAGCCCCGCCCACATAAACAACAGAAGCGGTATGTTGTTCTTCACAGGTTCTTCTTTGTTTGTTGTTGTTTTGTTTTTTGTTTTTTTTCTTGTGTGTCTGAAACAAATGTTGTCAGGACAGGTTTCAGTGATCAGCCGGGTTGTCATGAATGACTTTTTTTTTTAATTTCAAAGATTCTTTAACTTCAAACAGCTACAGTTAGATCTGCAGGTTTGATGGTTGTGTTCATGGCCCCACAGTTATCTTCACCCCCGAGTTAAAAGAAAACGTCGTTGACTAAAGGCCAAAATTGTGAGAATTTTGCTGTCCAGGTGCTGTGACCTTTGACCTAGCAGCCCTCAGTCATTTGATCCACAGATGAATTAATGTCACAAAATGTCACTAAATATTGTACGCAGTGGTGGCTCGGTGGTTAAGGAAGACTTGGGTCCGGAAGGTTTCAGGTTCGAATCCACCAGCTGCCAACTTACCACTGAGGTAACACCGAGGCACCGCCCCCCCTCACTGCTCCCCGGGCGCCCCCTGCTGACGGGTGATGAGTTAAATGCAGAGGTCACAGTGGTCTGCTGTGTCACAATCACAAGTAGTTCCTTCCTTTTCTGGGTTCGATTCCCAGCGGAACCAGGTGTTTGGCCTCTGCCAATACGGGATCAATGACGTTCGGGTTTCTGTATGTGATTAGTGATGATATTAGGAGTTCAAACATCAAGGAGGACGCAGTGTTACTTTATACTTTAGGATTTAGAAAATCAAAGATTTTACAGTCTACTCCCAAACTTTATTCTTCTGGAATTGAACCTCACACCAAATGTTGATGTAAAATCACCGTTTGAGCGCCGTGCTGTTTTAGACTAGCGCGCCTTCAACGACACAAAATAAAGTTTGTTAAAACCAGGTGACAAAGGTGAAAGTGACGCAGGAACCGGAGCTGAAGTGTCAATCGAACCGACGTTGTTAGAGTCAACCCACGGTTGTCACGGCGACCACAACAGCCCTGTTGATCACTGACGTCTGTGCTGTATCAGTGTTAGCATCTGAAGCAGTGTGTGTGTGTGTGTGTCTGTGTCTTACTTTCTAACTTGTTCACATAGGCGTCGTCCTGAAGAATACGACCTCCACGGCAGAAAGCGTCCGCGCGCTGACGGACCTCCTGATTTCAACCAACGCACAGGTCTTTTGCGGGCATTTCCTGTTTTTGTTTTTTTAAGTTTGAGTTTGGACGAAAACGCTCAGTGTTGAACGTAAACGGAAAAAAAAGTTTAACTTTATTAAGGTTGTTTTTATTCTAGGCTTTATCCAGGACCTCCGTAACCAACCAGTGGACAGGTGAGACATGACGGTGGTGCAGTGGGACAGAAATGCATGTTGATAACGTTGGTAACGATTATTATCCTGAACCAAAACGACAAATGTGTTAATACTAACTAATCTTTTTTCAGACGATTCTCTGGCGTGAGGAGAGATGTTTTTCTGAACGGGGTGAGTCTGAAAATCTGTAATCACGTTCACTTAGCCCAGTGTTTCGTCGATAGGGGGCGTTGTCCTGAAACCCTCCCACGTCAACACGTTTGCAGATGATGCTGCGATATGTTTATGAACTTTATGTGAACTATACTTCAAACACAACTATTGTTTGTTTTTTTATTTCAAGAAAACAGCATTTTATTGCAGGGCCCCCTACTGGAGAATCATTGTCATTGCCTTTGTTTGTCTGTTACAGCTGTAGTGCGATATTAATTAAGATATTTGATGTTTTGGTCATTTTGTGTTTGTTGGTTCCTGTTGATGAAAGGTTGGTGACATGTTAGTGGTTAGCAGGTTTATATTAGGTTAGTTTGGTCAAAGAAGTCGAAACTCGGTTAGCATACCATTTAGCAGTGGTCTGATTCGGGGGTTCAGAGGTCATGACCTTCTGGGGGTGGACTGCGCTAACTTGACTTGTTCCTGTTTCAGTCGTACGACTACATGCGGGACTATCACCACAGTGTTGGTCCTCCTGCTCCCTGGCAGACCATGGTAGGTTCCTGTCGTTACTTCTCTTTTCATGAACTTCCTGTTTGGTGCCACGCCCGTTAACCATGTCCTGTGTGTGTCACTAGGCGGCGTACCCCGTTTTGGAGCAGCCGCCACCCCACCACCCTCCCTACTACCACCACAGCCATCCTCCTCCCCCACCTCACCAGGCGTACCATCATCACCACCCCGCCATGCCGCCACACGAGGCTCCTCCCCCTAGATTCAGAGACAAACAGAGGGCGCCGCAGCACCGTGCCTTTGCCTCCAGCCCGGTCAGTGACGGTTCCTGCACCGTTTACTCCGATCTTTGTTAGAAAACATTTGTTAAACGACTGCTCTTTTTTTTTCTCCCCGTGCAGCACGACTACGACATGCGTGTAGATGACTTCCTGCGCCGGACGCAGGCGGTGGTGAGCAGCCGGCGAGAGCGCGAGCGACAGCGGGAACGTGAGCGGGGGGGTCCACGACGTGAAAGGGAACGAGACCGAGCAAGAGACAGAGACAGGGAGAGAGACAGGGACAAAGAAAGGGGGCGGTACCGCAGGTGATGTGGTGATGTCACATCCTGTCAGTATTTTTCTTTTTTTACTTTAAATGAAAAATATGAAAAATTTTCATCCAATGTCAAAATGTTTGAAACTCAGAAAACACAACTGTCGTACAAAATACTTGTTTTATTGTGAAAAGTCAAGAACATTTTCTCCAGTAGGAAACTCAATTTAAAGGTGGAGCCCAAAACTTTTTAAACAACTTTTTTTTTTTTTTTTTTGTCATTTTGTTTGATTTGGGTTTTTTGTTGTTTTTTTTAACCACTGTAATTTTTTTAAAGTTCCAACCCTGCGTCACCCTCAGCTGGATTTTAAAAGTCTGATTTCTGTTGTGAACGTCATCGTCTTGACAATCAGTGGTGGAAAAGGATCGTTATTTGTGTTTTTGACCAGTTTCAACGTTAGCAAAACATTTTCTCTCTGTTTGTGGACGAAGGATTAATGTTTGTTTTGTACAAAATAAAAATAAAAAAAGAATCAGTGATTTTTCTTTTGTCAGTCATGTGATGTGAATCAGTTGGACAAAACACTGATCAGGATTCACAAGAAAACATCTGGAGTCATCTGTGCATTTTGATCGATGCCACCTAGTGGCCGTAAGCTATAAACACTAGCAAATTATACAGACCTTCTGCAGTCAGCATCTTTGGGTTAATCCAAAATATTGAAAAGGGGGGGGCTGAAAACTCCCCCATCAGCAAATGTACCAATCAGAATTTTGGTCGAGTCAGAACGTATCGACCAATATAATGGGCCGGTCGACTGGGAGACCCTCGACTCACCTAACGTTTTGTTTATGTATTTATTACAAACCGCTCGTCCTCAGTCCGTCTTTTCTCGCCGCGTTCTCCTGCAGCTTTGGCAAACGCATTTTATGGCTGACCAGCAGAGGGCAATGCTCATCACAATCACAACCAGCAGAAAACCTATAACATCCAAGCTGTGGTACTGGAACAAGTTGAGATCATGTGACGACGGCCGCAGGTGATTGGCATCTCCGTTCCTCATCACAAACTCCACCCAGAATACCGCGGTGTCCAGCGCCGACAGAGGGCGATCACGGTGCACTGTTGAAAGATGCTGCATGCTGGCTTTGTAGCTGAGCACCATGGGAAATAAAAAGTTAGTTGACTGATTATCACGAATTGCGAAAGTGAACTCAAACCTGACCTCTGACCTGGGCTGGTTTATGACGGCATCCAACGCCTCTGTTAGCTCGTCCGACGTCATCGTCTGGATGTCCAGGACGATGGCCGCACCACGGCGACTCAGACGTGCAAGGTTATCGGGCTGATCTCCGAACAGTGGGACTCCAACCAGCGGCACGGCGTGGTACACGGCTTCGTACAGCCCGTTGGTGCCCCCGTGTGTCACAAATGCTCTGGTCTGAGGGTCAGCTGACAGGAAATACAAACCAAGCTTTTATTGTGAAAGGTCGTTTTTGTTTCTTGAAACATAAAGACGTTAAAGATGAAGATGTTTTTTACCCAACAAGTCGTTCTGTGGAATCCAGTCTAAAATCTTCGTGTTTGCTGCCAACGTTTTGGGTTTCGCCCCCTTGTACCTCCAGATCACCTGACGAGAACCAGTGGTTTTTACTAGGGATGTCCGATATTAACTCTCTGTCGATATCCGATAGGTCGATATCGTACAAACACTTCATTTCCGAGTTTGATATAAACCTATACCGATATAGCAGGTGATGGGTTAAAGCAGTGTTTCTCAGTTATTTTCTGCCAAGCTCCCCCTAGGGGACAGAAGTTTTTTCACCCCCCCATTTTGAAATACTGTTGAGCGCCTGGATATATTTATTTGTTTATCTGTACAAACCACTGTATGAGTACGAGATTATTCAATTGAGCTGCAATGCTGCCATCTAGTGGCTGTCACTTCCATATACAACCGTTTTTCCCCCAAACTATTTTTAGGGCACAAAACCTAGCCAAATGATGGCTAGGTTTTGCCATCATTTGTTATCGGGTTTTCATTATCGGCGGAAAAGCCAATAACGATTCTTACAGATTTTACATTATTACGCTAATATCAGGCCGATAATATCGGACATCCCTAGATATTACACGGTATCTACGGTTGAGTTCGACCTCTGACCTTCTGTGGGATTCTCCCCAGGGCAGCAGCGATGACATCAGTGCGTTCTGCCGTCAGGTTGGCCACCATGGAGCCGAAGGAAACCACCACCACGCCGGCGTCACCTGAGCTGTGGTAGAAGGCCTCCAGGTCGTCGGGCAGCGGTTTCCCCGGTTTGCAGTGAAGACCACCCACGTATTTAAAGTTTGGTAGAATCGGACGCGGCGTCTCGATGTCCCAGAAGGTTCTGATGAGCCAGATGTCCGCCCGGCCCAGGCTCTCACACACACTGCTGGGTCTCCCTGTCCACACCACAGAACTTTGACTGAACTGAGTAGTACTGAACTGTACTGAACTGTACTGTACTGTACTGGACTGGACTGGACTGGACTGGACTGTACTGTACTGTACTGTACTGGACTGTACTG